TACATGGAGATGACCACCCGAAGCCCTGTGATCGAAATTCAGCAGCTTGTTTTAGGCGGTGATTGACTCAACCCTATATATTGACTATGGCTTACATGTTTAGCTCATTAACTTACAGCAATATAAAGATACAGCTGAAATAGGGTATTTAGCACCACTTCCACCTTATTATTATAATTAGTTTTTATATTATTAAGCTATTTTTAACCATACCAAGTGTCAGCTTAAAATTTTCTTTTAACCTCTTGTTTAATTGAGACTGAATTTGTATGCAATCAAAATGTATATACAATTTTAAAGGACTATGTTTGAGCTAAGTTTGTACCCTTTTTAAATCCTTAAATAAAATAACAAACGTACTTACTTATTCCAAAATACACAGATATGTACCACCTCGCGAAAGAATATACCATACGCATGATCTAATTATGACTTTTTATTTGATAAATAAATAAAACTAATAAGCTAGCTTATACAACCTTCATATTTAACCTTCATTTTATATAACCTTTAGGAAACAAGTCTGCAGGCAGGGAATTCCACTCTATAGCCGTTCGCCATATAAATGTGGAAGCGTAACGCTTCGTGCGAATCTTTGGAATATCCACAACATAGGGGTGGAACCCAAGCCTACGCCTAATCCCCCGGTGATGGAAAGGAGGAGGCGGAATTAAATAATTTGTTTAAACAATCCACTTTTTGCATTTCCGTAACTTTGTGCTTTAAGATACGAGTTTGAGGAAGTAAGATGGCGACTTGCTGTTTACATACACGATTTACCTTGTTAAAAAATTCACCCTTCCACACTGTCACATAATAATCATTTACCTACTTTGTTTTATAACAGTATACATTGATGTGCACGGATAGGCATAATGCCCCTGCATAAAGATTATGTTTGTAAATAAACTCTCACGCTTGATTTTCATTGAATATTTTACTACCGCCGTGATATTCGTTTTTTTTTTGTTTATGAGAGCAAGTGACGGAAGGAACTAGTCGTGCGCCGGGAGGTAAGTGATACGCGTGTCCAGTGTTATAGTTCACTGTTCCATTTAATTGAAGTTATTATTTAAGAAGTGTTTTATTCATAAGCATACAACTCGTAACTCTAGTTTTCAATTAATTAGTATAGGTTATGATAATTTCCTGTACACTTATTGGCTGGCGTGTTGACCAAATCACCGAACACCAGGCAACAAGGCGTAAGGCGTAACATCAGGTAACAAGTTAGTAAGGGTAGGAGTAATGGAGGGAGTAGGAGATGTAAGGGGAGGTTTAGAGGGAAAGTTAGAGCAGGTGATCAGTTAGTCGTTGAGTGAAGATGAAATAGGAACATGCGTTTTGTTAAGAATTTCTACAACATGTTGCTAAAATAATTAATTTGTATGAAGTCGTCGTGGTGTTATTTTTCGAATATAAAATCTTACGATAAATCACGTGTTTTAAATTATACTCCAGTATTAGTTGAGTTTGCATAAGCTATCGGCTTCAATAGAAGTTACAGTGCCACAGATGATAGTTTTAAATCACAAAGATCCGAGGGGCATTGCCACTGCGCCCGCCACCCAAAGACATAAGTAGACAAGTCTCATATGCCTGTAATTTCACCAGTACCCTTACCCTTCGAAGCAGGAACGCAATAATGTTCACATTAGTGCTGGCGGCAGAAATACGTAAGGTTACAAAACTTCCCTGGCCGAACAAGAAGCTCTATTGCTACTAAAACTTTACTCCTGATAGTTTGTTATTATTAAAACAAAGATCTCTTTCCACACAGTGTCAATTTGCAGATTGGTACACTGTGTTATAACATGTTTATAATGATGCACAGTATGCGTGATTATTAGAACACAAAATACAACAGTGCCTGCTTAACTACGAGTATGTTAACAACAATGAAATGAAATCATTGAAAGGAAACAAAAAACCTTTTGTATTTATTGTAGGTTCGTTAATGATTTTAAATAAATAAAAAATGGACGAGCTATTTATTGAAACAAATTATTTTTATCGCATTTTATTCTTTCTTATAATTATCTTGACCCAAATTACTATCGCGTTAAATTTTTTAATCATCGATTTTTAAGATACATTTTTGTACGCCTATATGATATATTATGGTGCAGAGTAATAAAAACAGGCAACATCAACGTTTGTTGTGGTGTGTGATTTAACAACTGAATTGACTTTGTTAAACATATACTACCTAATTTTTACATAACAGAAATTATATATTCTAGAAATACCAGAAGTAAAACAGAAATACGGCCCAAACAAATCCCGTAACATGGAATGTGCTTGACATTTTGGGTTGTTCTTAACGCAAGACATTGAGTTGAATTTAAATCGTAGGCGTCCTATATTATTTTTTATTGAATATAATTTCTTTTAATACATACATTGAACTATTTTTTTTGTAAGAATTTTTTAACTATCTTTTTATTATTGACACAAAATCGAATAAACACAAAAACCAATTCCTTCGAACCGACTGGACTCGACAATTGCTAGTTCGAATCCGTTCTTCTTCACTATCTTCATCAACCAATTTATACAACCCACTGCCGGGCAGGGTTTAGATCATAATCCGCCACCCTGGACCCTTGACTTGACACGTTTTCCGAAGGTTGTGAACCGTCTTCGACGTACAGGTTTCATCACGATGTCTTTGTTTTCCTTCACCGAGTAGTTTTTAAGACTAGTTAATTAGTAGTAGTAGATCTGCCTCAGTGGCCGAACGGTTACCACGTAGAGGTCCCAGGTATGATACCCCGGGCCGGGAGAAATATTTGTATGGCCCACATTTATTTCTCTCGTGAGTTTGGATGTAATTTGTGGTTGCTTACGTGTGTCTCCAAATCTCCTTGTGAAAGAGTTCGTCCAGGGAAGTACTGTCACCTTACCTAGTCCAGCCGTCAAGCAGTAATGTGAGCATTACTGCTTGCTGCGAAGGGTAAGGGTGCTGATGAAATTACAGGCACGTGGGACTTTTTTTTGTAACATCAAGTGACGGCACGAACAAGTCATGCGCGTGATGGTAAGTTACACGCCTGTCCATAACAGTTACAGTACCACTCAGAACTTTCAATTGCAAAGATCTGAGGGGCACTACCACTGCGCCCGTCACCCTGAGACATAAGTTGACAAGTCCCATGTGCCTGTAACTTCCTTAAGATCTTTGCGATTAAAAGCTTTGAGTGGCACTGCAACTGTTATGGATAGGCACCCGACTTGTTGTCTCGTCGCTTGGTGTTATAAAAACAATAAGGAGGTGAATCTGTTAGGCTACCAAGGTTTCTTAGAATCCAGACGGGATTTTTTTTCGTCTTAAGCGTCATGCTTGACGTGCTGTTGACCCTGTACCATGTTTAGTTTTCTGATATGAATTTATGTTCCACGACAATCCAAGATTGAGATGATACCAACATTGTAAACGTGCTCTTGCTTGATGCAAGAGCACGTTCGTTCACTGTTCGTCTGTACCTACAGGAAGTGATAATGGTGCGATTGTTAATAATGTGTAAAACTAATGTTGTTTACTTTGATAACAGGAATGTGGTATTAACAAAATAAACTTGTGGTATAGGATCAATCAATAGGGCTGCGTGAAAAGGAGCGGAATGTCAATAAATGCCGATAAATTCCTGGCGCGATTCGGGTGACCCAATTGCCTTGAAGGCGTAAGGACAACAGCCAGCACGATATCGATCTTCAATCAAATTTTTTAAATTGGTAATTTTAAAAAGTTGTTGGTATGATCAGTTTACATTCGGATCTGAATTTTCTCAATATTCTAAAGTATTTCAGTTTTTTTTATGATTTGTTTCTACAGATTTTTGTCATCATGTTCTTTTTAATATTTTCAAGAAACTTTTTTGATAAACCTATCTGTTTAATTCCAAAACACAGTGCAATTTCACGCATATTTAGTAAATAACTTCATATTTTTTTACCTTTAATTTACATTGGAATTTAAGTTATATCAAAACATTAACTTATAATTTAACATAAAATTTTTCCTAATGTCACAATTAACTTGAGTTATTAACATCTCCCTACATGCGCATATTATTAAAGTTATTAAATCCTCAAGTCATTGTGTTGGAACGGTGAACCACTAGTCATAGCAAGGAGTGGCCAGAGGTGGTGAAACCTACCCATAATAGTCGGATGGTAGGCAATGACCTAGGGACCTCATTCAACTCAGAAAAAAATCAATATGTCTAAGGTGGACTATTACCTGAAGAAAATACAGCAGTGTATTAATAGGAGTGTTTCTGCTCCAACAACAAGTTCCAGGCAACAAGAAAATTAGAAAATACCCGACCAAGGTATTATTACTGATCATGGTAATGCACAATATGTATGGGTTAATCCGTAAAGTTAATCCGGATAGATAAAGAAATAGATTCCTATATCTATGGTTCATACAAACACAAAAATTACTGTGCATATAGCACAGTATGGCTACTATGCATAACTTTCAGAACATTATTTGGTCTAGAGGAAAAAAGTTGCTTACATTTTAAACTTGGAACAACATCGCATCGTCATCACCACATTATTACTAGAAAAAAAACCATTTCAAATCGATGCGTCGCAACTCTACCATTACAATAACAAAATAAAAAGGAGGTAGGTACGTACCACTGCAATGCTGAGGAATTTAATTTTATTGTAACGCCAACAAAGACTTGAAAAATGTTACAGTCAATTAGAATTGAAGAACGTTATTAAGTCATACATTTCACACATAAACCACATTTAATCAATTCCCCATGTACGTAACTATTACACTTTCGGAAAGACAAATTAATAGCAAACGAGCTTATCTTTCAGAGGTGTTCATTTATAGTTGTAACGAGAATATACGATACAACAAAACAAATAAATAGCCCGTAAAATTTGAATACCTTGAAAATGATATTGACTATACGTAAATTAGAAAGCAGGTGACGGAAAAGTGTGAACAAAAGTCAGGTAAACATAAAACTTACCTTGATTATCACATAAGTAGATCAATGGATGCAACGAAAATCATATTCCAAATGCGTAGTAATTACTGTTCATTGGACATACATTATCCAAATAACTTAATTAAATTGAGCAAATTTAAAAATAACAATTTACCACCTCCACGATTAGCGAGTAAAGCGACCGACTAATGAATAAAAATGAAACAAAAAAACTGTATTAATTTTTTTTATTTCACTTTCGAATCTATACCACACCACCACTTTGTGCAATAAGAATGCTCCGCGATTTCGGTCTTTTAAAGGTAGTGTAAATTGAAGCGAGCAAAATCATTTGACCAGCTGACTCACTCTTCGACTTTCCAAAAAAACACGCTCATAGGGTCGTACGTACATTTAATTTTTAATAGTGCTTTGAGACGAATTAATAGTTTAAATGTAGCCAATACGTTTTGAATTTCTCAATTATTTATTACCTTTTTGCGCTGATGGCTTTATAGCCCATGCCCATTAAATAAATAATAATAATGATTTCCAAACTGCGACATGCCTAAGAAATAAGCGTTGTTTTTTTTGGTCAGTCAACAATTGTTACACCAATAAAGTATCAGAAAACATACATGCAAAAAAAACTTAAAAGTAAGTGCACAATTTATTATAGACCGAGGTATATGTTGTATACAAATACCTCGCGAATATGATGGCAAACTGACGAACATGTCATCAGCATTATTTTCTGCCTAGAAGAAATTAGTTTCGCTTCCGTTTAGAGAAAAAATATTGGAAATTTTATTTTATTTTATTTAGGTATTTAGCCGTCATTGTCATTACTTGTCCTGAAAACAAGAATAGCTCTGGGTCCGGGCTTCTTCTTCTTCTTTTAAATGTTATGGCTCCATCGAAATAATTAATGACTTTGCCAATGTCAAGTAAAAAATTTTATTTATTTATTATAGTCGTCACCAAATAAGAGGCCAAATTTGACACTTGTCATGGTGACGTAAATAGAGATGTGGACTAATTATATCGGCAATCATAATTATACGATTTTCACTAGAAATCGATTCAAAATTTTAAAAGTTTGTGATTGTTTACATTATTTTTCGGTTCGTTGTTGTTCAGGGGGTCTAAAAGGCCAAATCGTTAAAAACAATTCATTTACAGAATTCCTTGCCATTTTGTAGGGATTCCACTTACTTTCGTAAAATTGTCCCACAATTCGATGAATTGTATCCATTTCTTTTTATTTTGATTTTATAATATTCATAAACGGTTTATTACGAGAATTTAGTAAAAATAAGTATGTTCATCGATAAAACAACTACATAAAAAGATTAAATTACCATGAAACCAAGGATTTAATAAATTTTCAATTTAAAAAGAAAAGGAAATATAAATCTGGCTATGAGGACGGGGCTCTTTTAAATTTGATAAATTATAAATTTATTTGCAATAGGTGTGGTCAGAGATGTAATATACATAATTATTTAAATTGCACTTATTTTTTTACATTTTTGTTTTAAAATTTAATAAGTTAATATTTTTTCTAAGAAATCGAAGTGATTCAGTAAAATTGGGCGATTAAATGCTTACAAGACTATTTTTTTTTAAATAGTTTGAGAACGTAACTGTTTTCAGGATGTTTCGAAGTAACTCAATTTTATTTTGGAATTCGTGCGAAAATAGTACGTCAAATATGTTTTGTTATATTATATCATGTTTCAATAAAATTTGTTTTTTTTTTAAACTCAATTGCTAATAATTGTTTGTTTATTGTTTCGTTGATCACATTCAAAGTTACGTACTATCACCTTTGTTAGCTGTCACATTTGGCCTGTTATTTGGTGACGACTGTAATTGACGAACTACGTTCGACCGAAGAACGTTAGTTATCTTTGTCCATATTATCTTTTTGTCTTTTGAGTGCCTACCTACACGCTCATTACTTAGCTCATTATATGTGTTGAAAGCATTCAGCTCCGCCTTTTGTCATTAAAATAATGGGTATCAATCAACTTGTTTCTACTCCTCTCTAAGGGTCGTATTCCAAAACTCTACTCAATGCTCAAGTCAGGATTTGAGTATGGCTTAAAGCACTCGAAATCATACTCAAGTCCCTGCCATTCGGGTCGTATTTCCAGTGCTAGAAATCATACTCAAGTCTGCTCAAATCCTGACTTGAGCATTGAGTAGAGTTTTGGAATACGACCCTAAGCTATTTTATTTTGAACCTAGTATTGCTTCTCATCTCTATTATTGATTTTAGTGTTAGTGTAGTTCAGAAAATACACTGATTTTCATAATTTAAATTTCGTTTGGGCTTGACTTCGTTGGCGTACTTGTTAGCGCTTAACATGATCCTAATGAATACGTAAGTTATTGTTTATTTCATTAAACCCTACAAATAAGTATTATAGAAGACTAAGGTTAGTGTAATATTTTATTCTAGTAAATTCTACAACAAATTTCTGAACGATAAGTATAGAAATCAACCGAAGTTGAATTTTATAGCAATACATAAAGATCCATTTAAGCTTTTACTGCACGGAGTTAAAACTGAAATTTAAATATCCGAAATTCTTATTTTTGAGATATCTTTGACGCCAAAATAACATTGTTATCTTTTGACCGGAGCTGTCTCTATAAGTATTTTGTTTGTTACGCAATAAAATAAATAAATCACACGTCTATCATACATACAACAATAATACTTTTCGACCTGTGGGAAGGGCAAAATCCACGGCTAAAACACAATATGGACCGAGGATTCATGGATAAAGTGCGGTCGTTCTTTGGTTTGGGGCTGCAGCCTCCGCGAAACGATTTTCGTAATCCGATTTGGGGATCGGACGACGATGACGACGACGGAGATGAGTTGTACACTAGGCAGAACTTGGACCTCCACTCACATCTCGACTTCCACAACGAACTAACCCAGCACATGCACGACATAATCAGCTCGTTCGGTGGGATATTCGGTGACATGAAAACATTCTTCAACGACGATCATTTGGAGCACTTTGACATGTTCACTAACACGCCGACATTGGACAGCGATACACCCGAACCGGACACGTTTGACAGTAACAGAATAAGAGATTACTACCTGAAACCCGGATACCATAAGAAGTTTAACAGACCTAAGGACGTTGATCTGGATGGTGAAATATTGTCCCATGAGATACCTGCGTTATTTAACAAGAAAGATGACCCTAATAGTGTTGTCAAGCCTTTTGATGGCAACTTAGTGCAGGGATTTCCGTTTTGCCAGACAGTTATTACAACCAGTGTGAAAAAGTCAGATGGCTCCGTTGAAACCCGGAGAATTGTGAAGAGGGGTAACAAAGTAATTGAGGAAACAACAACATCAACAGAGCCTAGTAATAATGGCCCACATTCACCAGGTTTGGATTCAGTGTCCTCCCCTGCTGGTTTCTTTGTGCCGAACCTAGGTTCATTATTTCACAACTTTTATTAGTAATTACTATTGACGTAGATTAGATAAATGTTAAGAGGGAAATTTAAAATTCTAGTAAGATTATGGCACATTAGTTTACTCTAAAAGCCTTTTACCTTTTACTTGGATTTAACAATGCTTGTGTGTCATGGTATATTACTTCTAGCAATTTGCTGGTCGGGGTCGATATCATAATGATTATATCTTCATAATGACCTGATCAGCATAAGGACTAGATTGCAAAATAACCTCCTCTGCAGAAAGGCTATAACTTACAATGGTTTTGTAGCAAAACAACTAGTGTAGTGTGGGAGTAGGAAAAAAAAGGGTATAAGACAAATCAATACTGTTACCAAAAATTTTATTAGCTGGTAGTACAAATGGTGTCAACCTTGTTGCAAAATGCATTGTGTACCAGATGTATATGATACATAACTAGAAATATCTATAGAAACCTGCAATGTAGTTGATATGCCGCAGTGTGAAATCCATGTAAGAGGAAGAATGGCACAGATTTATTTTAATAACGCTCAATTTGTTAATGTATCACACACATGTATGTAGCAATGTTAAATACTAAAAACCAATATATCTTTTCTGTATGTATGGTATCTCTTCTGTGTGTAATCCTCTTACCTTTAGCTTTGTAGATATATACAACACATGTTGAGTATATTTTGCAATATTTAATAATAACAATGTTTAAAACACAATAGCCATAGCGGAATGTTTTCATTTAGCATTATAGATATACGAAGCAGCGTACTTCCATTTCCAAATGCTTCTGGTTTATTTGGTTGGCCTTATACATTAGTAGCAATGTAATTTCACATGAGGGCCATTGGCTTTAATGCCTACATAAAAACAGCCATTATGTGTCCGTTGCTTTAAACGAAAGTCTATTTTCAGCCGCCCAAATTGAATTATCAAATACATAATAATATATAAATGAGAAATAGCAACATGGTGCAACCACTAAAGATACAATTATGAAAATCGTGTTGCTTATTACAAGTCCAAATTACATATCAGTTTTTTAATACTGATTTGTTTATTACGAAACTGGCAGTACGCTGGCTTTTTTATGAATTGTTTCATAGTTTGATGATCTGCAGGAATATTGAAATGTAGAATAAAATATCATTCCCAATAAAAAGATAGATAGATTATTTAGTTTACACATAAAGAGTGAGACTTAAGAGGAACATCTTCACATTGTCTTCATCTATATGACAAATTCACTAATTTTCGCTTAGGCTATTACAAAAACATTAGAAACTTTTTGTTGTCTTGAAAATTGGAAGGTTTTAAAATTTGGTACTATAAGTTGAAACATATAAACCATAACCAACATAAATTTTGATTGAGTTAATTGTAATTTACTTATTACCAGGTATTAAAAGCAGGCATTAAAAGCAAGACCGGACAGTCCTCTTAATTCTCCAAAGTCAGTAGTACTAGTATATTGAAGGGAGAATGTCATGCATCAATGCTAATTTGCAACATTTTCTGTGTACCTACCTAGTTTCCGTTATTTTAATATCCGCCCTTCACCACTGCAAATAATTAGGTATATTTATTCAATTACCCAATATTTCTTAATATAGTCATTTAAAATCATAATCTGTAACTTACAAGTTAGAAAATTGTAGTTTCCTGTCAAACTAATAGTTAAATTTTGCAACATACATAATGATTATAAATATAAAAAATAAAATAAAAAAATTGAATATTGACTTTTTCTGTAATATAATATATTCATTATAATAAAGTATAAGGCTAAAAACCACAGAAATATTTTCTTTTTTATTTATTTATTAAGTTATTAATATTAAACGCTACTAACTTGTAATAATTTATGGAATAAATACAGTAATAAATAACACGTGCCATATAAGACATAACTCAAACTAGTATATATTTTTAATTTCACATTTTTTCTGAAAATTTAAGTTCATAAAAGTGTTTTAGTAACTTTTGCAGAGCATAAAATCCATTCAAAATTTACAGAATCGTAGAATTTCACAAACCTTTTAGTGACGATCTGTCTCACTTCAGCGAAGATACATTGTCGCTTTTCATTACATTTCTTAGCCTATTAAGTGATAGCAAGCTATAATAGTTTTCCCTAAGTTTGTGATGTACTGAACTGAATAATAATAAATAGATCATCTTAGAGGATGATTTTAGTTGCAATAGCAAGCATCTTTGGTGTTGCTCTTTATCCAACTCAAGTATCTGTTGACGCGCGTGAAGACTCCTGGAGCATTAGGCCGGGCACAACCTTCGCCCCATGATACGACTCCTGGAAATGTGATGATAGCTCATGTAATTTTATTTATAGGTATAAAATCAATGTCATCGTCTTCCTCTTCGGTACTAATAGAAGTTTGAGTTCTTTCTTATATATACATACATATAAACAAAGGAATTCAAATTCATTCCCTGCCTTTCAACCTCTCACGGTGACGATATGGTAAAAATGGTTACTAGTATTTCCCGCCTAATACTTAAATAATAGTATTATTTTTTCCTTTATTAATAGTTACTTACCAACTTCCTGAAACTGCGCGTTTGAGTTCATAACATGCAAAGGTCCTCCAGAATCTCCTTGGCAAGCGTCACGACCACCTTCAGGTTCACCCGCGCACAGCATGTTATCTGTGATTCGTTGCTTGTAAACGGTTTTTCGACAATCCTCATTCGATATTATGGGAACGTACACCTAAACAAGACGATAAATAAGGATTAGAACTTTGCAAGCCGTCTTATGAATGCCCCATGCGGGTGGTTTGGGAGTATCCTACCTATGATGCATCCAAGCATTAGAACTTCACACACGTGGGTTGCAGAGGCTTGGAGTATAATTTAATCTAATTTTTTATGACAACTTCTTTACTAACATATGCTATAAGTTTTCTGTAAATAACACGATATGAACAATGTCTGAACTAAAGTTTTTGAATTTGAAAGCACTACAAGTTATCAGTTGATTAAGAAATCTTTGTGGTTTCTAGTTTGTCTCATAGACGGAACAGTATTTTGTCTAAAAGAATTGTAACAAAGTAAAATCATTTTAAGTAAGATCGCAATTCCTTGACATCACAAGTAGATCGCAACAATTGAGCGCACCTCTTGCAGTGTATTAGACACAGATCCGCCTTCTTCAGTAGTACCCCATCCAGTGACCACACCACTGTAGTTGCTGTAGGAAAGTCCAGGAGAAGGCAAGCACACAGGACGAGGACCTGCGTCTTCTTCGGTTTGACCGTCTGAAGTTCGCTTTAGAGCAGTGCTCAAGTCCACCTGTTATGTATAATTAAAAATATTACAGACGTGGTTAAAATCTCGGTCCTAATTTCATTATGGATAGTCTCATTCTGTGCTTTTCTTGAGGATAAATATATAATTAAGCTTATAACAACGTCGACGTCTTGAATGCTTACCCTTTTATCCAACTTCAGAAGTGCGATATCATTATCGTAATTGCTAGGACTGTACCGCGAATGTCTGATAATAGCTTCTACTTTTCTTTCGATAGTCTTCGTCTCGTTGGCTGCAGACCGATCGTGTTCCAAAAATCTAACCGTCATTCTCTCCTTGCGGAACCTGTTATAAATTTTACACACTCAAATATTATTAATTTGTTTCATGTCTGCTACAAAATCTTCCAAGAGTGCCAATAACATCCATACTTCAGAATTTCCAAAGTGTTCATGCAACTTACCCAGAAGTACAATGAGCAGCAGTTAGTACGTAGAGGTCATTCAGTAAAGATCCTCCACAATAAAATCTACCATTGTACAGGAGTACTGTCATCCACGGGAACTCTAGCACTTTTGTTTCGTAACCCCCGACAATACGCCGGCGAGTGCGGGCGATACCACATTCTGCAATGTTAATACGTGCCGAATATCAGTTGTAATACTAAGCGTTTTTTTGCAGTGTCTTCGTTTCTTTTATTATATGAAATATCTGAAGAAGACATTTTGACGCTGCTTAATTTAATTGTTTTCTCTACTGTACAACCAAGTTTTTGCAGTCAAAAAGTAAGAGCGAAGTTTGGTACGAATGGATACTAACGGCAAGTAGGGCAATCTGGAGGTGGATCATTGGTCGGTCTCAACGTGGTAGCAGGGCTGTTGCCGATGAGATTATTAATCCAGTCTATAAAACCCTTTTCGTCCACCTTTTTAATGCTGGCCGGTGTGGAGGGCAGACTGCTTACCAGGCTTAGCAAGCAAGCTAAGAAGATTATCCGCGACATTCTGAAATGAAGTATTGAAAATCGATTTAATTCACCAATATTACTTACCGAAGAACTATTAAAGAACGCAACTATACTCAAATCAAGATTTTTTTTAGCATTCAGGTATAAATATTCTGTAGGTAAATGTATGTACCCAGTATCAATTAGTTATAATTTACTGTGAAGTGCCTACCATCAATCATACAGTCATCATCACCACTGTAACTAGTAACAAACAAAATCTCTACTCACAACACATACCTTGCAATCAAACCTAAACTCACTATCACTCTGAAATATATTTACTTAACTGCCTCCATAGCCGAGCGGTTACCAAGCTGGACTGCCATGCGGAGGTTCCGGGTTCGATTCCCGGGCCGGGAGAAACGTTTGTATGGCCTAGATTTTCTCTCGTGAGTTTGGGTGTAATTTGTGGTAGTCTATGTGTGTGTCCATGGCACCCGCGATACAGGGTTTCCCTAATGCGGGGCTATGAGTGTGTACGCGTAATTATTTTAATTTTTTATTTATTTAAACTTTATTGCTCACAAAGTAGTACAAATGGCGGGACTTATTATTATTGTTTAATGACAATCAAGTATATATGGTGATCGTGTCATGGTACCGCTATGGGATCATTCTTCTCGTTTGAATTAGCACATCCACTTGTATCCTAGGCCATTTTTATGAAAAATTGGCAGCATTACGGAATTTTGGGCTTGAAGCCATTTATTTCCTTCATGGTCTTGCTTTAGTGTTGTTGATACAGTGATGATCACGTGTTTGGACCGTTCTTCTCGCAACTTGCATAGAATTGAAATGAAATGTTCCTGGCCCTGTACTTTACGCACTTAATGACGATGGAGTGTATCTATATGCAGTGGCGGATTTGCCCTAAGGCCCACTAGGCCCGGGCCGAGGGCGGCTAGATTTTAGGGGCGGCCAATCATCACAAAACATTCACTGATGATAACTGGAAGTTACTCAAAGTACCTAAATATTCTAAACGCTCACGGACATTACGGCGGGCCGCGCTGCATCGCGTCGTACATAGGGCGCCCTATAAGTTTCCGGAACTGGCCACTTACATACACGCAGAGGTTCCAGGTCCGATTCCCCGGCCGGGAGAAACATGTGTATAACGTACATTTATTTCTCTCGTGAGTTTGGGTGTAATTTATGGTTGTCTATATGTGTGTCCATGGCACCCGCGATACAGGATTTCCCCAGTGCGGGGCTATGCGTGTGTGCGTCACTATTAGTATTATATTGCGATATTATTATTACGTACAGAGCTTTTGCATTGTTGAAAAATGACGGCTATTGACATTGTTGAATATGATATTTAAACGAAATGAAGTGTAGAGGCAAACTTAACTTCTAGTAAAGTTGTTAGGTCAAAAGGAATATGGGACATTGCTATGCACATCGCGTTACTTATACGCCGTGACCACCGGTGGCCCGATCTAGTCAGTAGAGAGCTGTTTTCCTGTTTACTTTAATAACTTTAATGGAAAAGAAAGTAGTTTAATAGGGCTTTCAAGTTTCTTGACGTACCTAGAAATTACGCGCAGGTCTGATGTGATAACAAGTTTATATTGCAAAAAATATTTAGGCTTTAAATGTCGCATCGCATTGATTTCGGTCACTAATCGTGAGCCCCACAATAACCATCCAAATTATTAGGTATGACGAACATGACCATACGTCCCGCTTTTAAGCTTCGTGTCCAGCTGTCCCCAAAATACCTACCTAAAAAATCCCGTTTTGACATACGTGACATATAAATTTGAAAATCAGGCCAATAGTTACAATCATATTTAAGAACTAAACTTGACGTACATATTAAAGCAAATTTGTTCATCCGAAAAATAAATAAAGTTAGTTCACCAAACTACACAAGATTATTTTTATATTTAAATTTTCGATCATTAAAATTTTTTAGTTCCTTTTTTTTTTTTTTTTTATTCATTAAACATTTCGTAACTATCATTGTAGCGAATCGCAGCAGTCGCTACAAATCTCCTTTAAATAGTAATTTTACGTTTGGTTTTATATTTAAATTCGAAATTGAAATGTGATTGTTTTTGGCGCCTTTTTTACTATAATTTGCTGTTTTGCTCATCAGAGCAAAACATATGTTGTATGTGTTTAAAATAAATTGATAAGTGCATTTGCTTTGGCCTTGCTCACTCGTTGTTAAAAAAATAATGGTCACGTTGGATATGACTCGTCAACCTTTGTTAAAAAAAACGGTCCGGACCTTTGGTAACCATGAAAAACAAAGGGCGGGTTTTTTGCGGGGCAGGGGAAGTTACATTTTTTACACGAATTAATTTTTAGTTTATGTAGATTACGTTGTGCGTTTCTTGATTATGTGTTACCAATAAGCGGATGGCTCTAAAGCCAATGCTTTATAAATAAATAATAAAAATAATTCAGGAGAGAGGTTTACAGATTCTACGAACAAAATTAGTTATTAACTTTTTACGCTTAATGGAAAAGTCAAAGAATTTCACATATACGGTATCAGTGTTATGGAGCTCGTATTATTTATAAATATATATATTTTTATAAAGCACTTTTGACATATTGTAGTACATGTAGCTTTATTACCAAAAGTCCCAAACATTGATTTTTAAGTAATTTAACGACCATTGCGACTACTAAGTAAATCAGTTGTTCTAACGAATGAATTTCATTTAAATTTGGACGCACAAAATCGTAACGAACGCACGAAAACAGGCCGTATACGCACTTCTAAAAGTTTTCGCGCCAAAAGCGGTGCACAATTTTAATTTCAATTCTAAATACCTTATTTAAACATCGCATTCCAATTAAGACGTAACCGAAAAGTCCTTTGCAATTCTTTTCTGCCACAAATTCCACTGAATAAACACAAATCAAACTACGAATCAAAACTTACACAACCAAAGAGTCCCTCAAGGAAAACAGATGACGTCTAGTCCACGCGCAGATCCGTGAGTACACTGCAGAATTGAGGAAAGAGAAAGACTGTCTCCACTTTCACTCGAACTAGTTCGTCCTGCCAACTGGACCTGTCGACTACCAGCACCGTATTATAAGACTGTATATACGTCACAAATGCAATTAACGAATACTAGGGTAATTTCAGCACAATTATTATCACACAAATAGGGGTAATTACCGTAAATGTGAGATGCCCATGTGGGATCATAATGCTTGTAGGTAATAAAGTTTGCATGCAAATGTTTCTATGACGGTCGTTTTGTTACGACACGATCTACATTGTATGGGTAGTGTGGACTCCAACTTGAGTGAACCAGCATAATGACATTGAATTTTAGAGAGAACGCTACAAATTAGTGGACATTTGTTTCAGGTTTATTTAAAGAAAACATTGATAGTGATGCGCGGTTAAATTGTTGTTTAATTAGATTTAATATTATCCTTCTGATAATTACATCAAAAAGAGGTTTTTTGCATCGTGCTGTACCTCCTTCAATCTTACAACAAGAGGAAAGTTGCAATCCAGTTGAAATAGGTACTGAGTATTAAATAGCACGCCAAGCTAGACAGATTTATTTAACTAACAAATTATTGGGAAAGCAAATTTATTAAGTTCGGAATTAAGTAAGTAACATTATGACAACGCCTGTCGGTATTTTATGTCATATTTCGTTTTGTAAGTACAAATTGCTATTTTAATTTATCTAGGTGTTCGTCAAATTGTAAATAGTTAAATAAATAATAAAAAATAGTTAAATTGGAAAATAGACAAAAAATTAAAAACTTTAATATTAAGCTAAAAAATAATTACTTTTGCTTATTTTCCTCACGTAAATAGTAAATTTAAAAAGATGTTTTTAAATTTGAATCTTAAAAGTGAACTCAGTGTAACACTTCATTATACATAACTGTTAGGTTCAAACCTTGCAAATAATTTCACTTCAAATGTGCTTGTTTATATTTATTGTCAGGTGGGGTAAGAGGAACATGCTTTATTTCGAGACAAATGTTATGAGCTCTAGGAGGAATAAATAATGTCTTATACGAATCGAAAAACTCTAATTTTGCCCTGGTTTATCAGCTTTCCATGTTTTAACAATCATTACGCTAAAATTAATACTTACGATGTATCTGACAAAAACTTTCAGGTTGTGCTAACGTTTCTCTTCACCCAAAAAATGGGGTAATACGAAATGCCGTCGTATTTCATATAAATATAATGTATATTTAAATATATCCGTAGTTAATTCCTAAGTAAAACTATTTCAATCGAATTTGATCTTATAACCATTGAAATAATGTACAGTTATCAAACAAAAGTGAATAATTAATTTTGGGGCAAGAGGAACATACAGGTTAAGTTAAGGGGTGACAAATTAAAAAAAAAGTGAATCTGTTCTATTTTTTTAGTATGTACAAAGCACTCGTTTACAAATCAACACATTAAGTAACTTAAATACTTTTAAAACATCGTCATAATAGAAAAACAATGTTTGGTCCAAAAATAAATTTATACTTCTAACAAAAATCTTTCAAATAAATCAATAGAAATTTTGGTATAGAAGTAGTGTGACCACGTAGCTAACGTGCTATGAGCCATTTTTGTGTTTGTTCTTAGATTACGTCATTATTTTAGAGCTGATGTATTTTTTTTTAGTTTCCAACTAAAATATTAAATTTTCTAGAAATTCTTGACGGAAAAAAATGTCCTACCAGAATTTGCTGCTGGCTTTAAAAACTAGCTTAAGATATGTGATATTTACATCGTCAGAAATTAACATCATGTGGAGGAAGTCACTAAAATTTTACCAAAATTGACGATTACCATCAAATACGTTATTTCAACAAATTTAACTTAATTTCTTAAAAGTATATAATGTATAGGTATAAAATAATATATAAAGCTGTATTTGTTCGAATATGAGATTATTCCATTATGACAATTCATCAAAAAGTTTATCACCCCTGACACGGGGGAAGAGGAACATAATGTTTCTCTTACCCCGTAAGTACTAGACCCTCTTACCCCAACAATGTTTTTGGCGGTTAGGATTTTGATTCCAATGAAATTCGTATTGTTTGTTATTTTTGGTCTGAAATCGTTATTTAAAAAGGTAAGTTTTACTTTTTATTCGTTAATAAAAAGTAAAACTTACCTTTTTCTCTAAGTGTTTTTCTATAAAAATAATCTCCAGCACTTTTTTTCAACAAGATCCAGCAAAAAAAAATGCGCGCCCATCTCGCGTTTACAGACTACAAAAATGTCAATTTATCTCTCTCTCTCTCTCAAATTTGGAACATCGTAGCGACATCTCTTTACAACCGTTAAAACTTATTTGTTTGTCTGTTTTATCGACTGAGAGACTATAGTGCTAAACGCCTTACTTTAGGTATTATGGATTTTAGTCCCTCATCCCCCGGCGTTCCTCTTACCACACCTGACCTTATCTAAAGTGTATCATATTTTATGGTTTTAAATAGAATAACAACATCATACAAACAAGTATAATTAAATATATTCAGAAAGCGTAGAACTATATAAATGACGGTAATTGGGCAGTATGATTATTACTAGGACTATATACTAGGACATGTCCAAAGCCTACGACATGGTATCCCATGTAATACTATTACAGAAATTACATAACATCGGCATAAAAGGAAGAGTGTTTAGATGGTTCCAATCTTACCTACTGAATAGACAATATGAATATGTGGAAATCGAATATTGAGATAAGGACATGAAATCTATCGTTACAGTGAAATCTAACACAAAAACCATAAATTGTTCTATACTTTGGGTTGTGTCATGTTCATTATTTACATAAATGACCTCCTGGAAATATTGTATACTCTGTGTGTAATGTATGCTGATGACATATCGTTACTATTTAAGGATAAGGATGATGACCATAGTATTGATAATGAAATAAATTATTTTAATTCGGATCAAAATCGGCTGTCAGACCACAATCCCAATATGAACCTAAAAAAGACTAGACTTATCCAATTCAGGCCACATCAACGGGGAAAACTGGACTTAAAAACCGTAGTTACTATGTTAAACATTGACGAAGTTGAAAACTTTAATTTATTAGGTATAAACATTGTTTCCCATCTAAATTGGAAAACGCAAACAGGTGTATTACAATCAAAATGATCATCATTTACCTATGCATTAGCACTCGTGAAAACGAACACAAATTACTAAGCGGCACTTGCGACCTATTACGCCTACGCCTACGCATGGCATAAATACGGCGTCAATAAATAAATAAACGAATATAGGAGATAATTTCGTAATGCAAAAAAAAATTCATTCGAATACTCATGAATGTAGGCCCTCAAGATAGCTACCGACCATACTTTATTAAAGAAATTTTACTACTACTTTCCCCTCACTATACATACTTGAATAAGCATCATTCGTTAGGAAGTATTTACAAGAATTTAAATACATAAAGATTTTGAGAAGGAGTAATCAAGTGGAACTCCGCAAACCAAAATTATAAATGTACAAAAACAGCCCATACTATCGTGCAATAAAAATATACAATAAAATACCGCGTGACATAAAAAACGAAGCAAACGATAATTTATTCTATAAAAATTTAAGAAAATATTTAACGAATAAAAGCTATTATAAAATTGAAGAGTACATAAATAAGCAAATAATTAAATAATGTAAAAATATTTCAACAATTACACTCCAAATGAACACAATGAATCAAACTATAAATACGTAATAATTAATTGATACTGAGTTTATAAACATGTAATTTCTGACGAATTCATAATATTAATTAATAATATTCTCTTGACCTTCAAAAATGACGTTTTTTGCTTTAGTTTTAGAATTTATTTTGACATCAATTTTAAATTTTGACATGTTTTGTTTACGCCTCGCAATTCCTATTCTAAAATTTATATTTTTTATTTTGTTTCATTATATTTTCTTATATTGTATTCAATATCTTGACTTGCAGTGCCCTATTCAGGGTAACGTACTACACTCTAGTCGTAATGTAACACATTTGTAACACCTGACTATGTATGTACATGTGATAATAAATAAATACAAACACAAATACAAATATATTTATTTATAACTTGCATTTTGTTCAGAAAAATAAAATATAATTATATTCACAGAAGTGTTGGTTGACCTTTATTTAAAATATAAATTAAGTTGTCTCATAGAAAATATTATGTATCCACATTTATACATAACGTGACCATACCCTCGGACAGTCCCGCTTTTAAAATTCGTGTCTCACTGTTACCGAAATCATTATCAAATTCCCACTTTGACAAAATATATAATAATAATAATAACGCACATATTCAACATAGCCCCGCACTAGGTAAACCCTGTGCCATGAACACACACGTAGACAACCACAAATTACACCCAAACTCACGAGAGAAATAATGCGTGTGTTGATGATTTTTACGCAATAATGCGTAAAAAAGGTGCGTCACAGATGTTGCGATTGCGTGGGACCACGGTATCCTGAGGATGATATCGGGAAGAATGGAATCGGCTGTTTTCCGTAGGTTCACCGAGTTACACGTGAACATATAATAATGTATTTACAACAATAATGTAATTTAATTTGATGTAGGTATTGTAATTGTTCTTCTTGTTTCTATTAACTTAGCTCATAAGATTGTTACTATCAAATATGGACTAATTGGTTGGAGAATAAATGAATTTGAATAATAAATTTACAGGCGTCCCGCTCAGAGGGAAAAAAAATGGTCACGTTATCCATACTGCGTATTCCTTTCAGAAACAAAAGGTGATCTTTAAATGAAATTTCACCGTGCTTTGACAAAAATTTGACATTTCACACACTAATTTGACAAAAATTTGTTTTACTCTTGTCGCTTTTAATCAGACCTCTTATCCAATAGAATTTATACATTAAGATAGGTAAACTACCTCCGAATCGGTTACCATGCTGCTCGGCCTCGCAAAGTTGTGGGTCTGGGCGCTATTCAATTATTTACTAATATGTCGATAGTTTCACGAGCACAGCTAGCGATTAGCAGACTATTTTAGTGGATGACTTATTCGCAATAGCAAGCATCTCCAGTGTTGCTCTTTAACCAACTCAAGTATCTGTTGACACGCGTGTATACTCCTGGTACGTTGGGCCGGGCACAGCCTTCACCCCACGATACAATGCCTGCAAAAGTAAGTTATAATTGAGTGCACTTTGTTACAAGGGCGATAAGTAAGCAATTACGAACAGAGGAATATTGAAAGGCTTTAATGGCGCGAATGTTTGTAATTGCTGTTCTGCCCGTGTGGCATACAATGAAAATCACACCTGGGAGGAAGTTAGAAAAAGGAAAATTAAAAACGTTATAATTTATTCCTATTAACAAAATTTTAAGCATTTCAGAAAAAATCTTATACAAAGAATACTTATTTTTTAAGCATTGAAAGTTTTTACATTGACTTGACGTATGAATGTCACAAAAACTTTTAAATTTATTTAGGCCATAGTGTCTATGAGTACCATGGCTTTACCAAAGCCTTAATAAATTAAAAAAAAAATCTATATTTAAAAAGAACCGTTACCGATCAAAAATACCGACTAGTTTTGCTGCACCTTATATGAACATTAGTGTGATAAAAAGCAGTTTAGTCATTGACTTACAATTATATGGACGTCGGGTCCGCGCTAAAAAGTGTCCGAACTTGTAGGGCGTTAAAATCGTATACAGAGCGTCATTCACGCTTTAGTCTTCGTTTGTTCGACTGAAGTCAATGAGTTTAGTTTAAATTTTCTTTGATAGGTCTCACATAACTGTCATCGGCCTACTCTTTAATATGTAGACCTAAGAGTTCATCAAATGGAGGAACTTGCCCTTTGAACTTGCAATCCTTGAAAAATCAGCACAATCAGTTGTATGAATATCGCTAATATTAAATATTAATATATTTTCCCGTTTACGAATTGTTACTGACCAACTTCCTGGAACTGCGCGTTAGAGTTTTTGATTTGTAAAGGACCACCAGAGTCTCCTTGGCAAGCGTCACGTCCACCTTCAGGCTCTCCCGCGCATAGCATGTTATCCGTGATTCGTTGCTTGTAAATGGTTTGTCGGCACTCTGCATTCGCTATTATGGGAACATATACCTATAAAAAGACGATGAATTATTTCATTGGACCTTTGCAACTTATAAGACTTATAGATTTGCAACTTATAGATTTCGCAATACAGAAACGAGTGCGTCAATCGGTCAAGAAATCGTTATAGATTATTTGTTTTCGGGAATCATGGAACAGCAATTCGATTCAATAGAATCGAATTCAAATGAAATGAGACAATCCTTTCAGTTCGTGATTAATTCTTACATGCGATCGTTCACTGACTCACGCTGTAACATCATACCACTCCCGTTCACACAAACACAAATTTTCTTTATTCTAAAATTTCCACAGCCCTAAGCGATGAATTATCGGTATTTGGAAAAAAATATTTTAAGTTCATAAAATGCTGTTGGATGTATACGTAATTGTATTAGTATTATAAAAAATTTAAAAAATCACAACTCAAATAGACATCCAACGTCATTAAGTCTTCTCCAAGACCTTTTGTCAGAAAAATTTCAGCATACCTCTTGCAACGTATTAGACACAAATCCACCCTCTGCATTAGTACCCCAACCAGTGACTACTGCGCTATAGTTGGTGTAGGAAAGTCCAGCTGTAGGCAAGCATACAGGACGAGGACCTACGTCTTCTTCTTCAGTGGGACCATCTCCATTTCGCTTTAGAGCGTTGCTCAAGTCCACCTGTTTAATTCAAACTGTTACAAAAATGTAGCTGGTTTTAATTAAGACATCCTCATTCGGCGCTAATATAGTAAAGTTTATATTCAATTTAATAGAGCTTGAAAAGCTTAGTCGTTTTGAAAAATACATGACATTATTTTTCATGACTTTAAAGTTACATAAAAAAATTTTTTCGGAAATTATTTTAATTTTTTAATTTAGAACTCCTTACTGACGTTATTTAATTGCAAAAAATACAAAATAATAAAGTTAGGTGAGAGAAATTTTTTGAAGATGGAGAAAACGGAATTTCGGTGAGGTGCCTATTCCGTTTCTCATCTGCAATCAGAACATCAAAACTTGCTGAATTATGATACGATCTATTGCCCGTATTCACTAGATTTAGCCCCATCTGATTTTTTTACCTGATTTTTGACCAATTTACATCAAATTAGGAAATGATAGCTGAAATAGAGGCTTATTTTTTCAGATTGACAAAAAATAAGTTTTGGTGTGGTTGAAGAAGTTGGTATATTATCGCTGGTCAAAGTGTATAAAGTTAAAAAGAAATTACGTAGAAAATAAACCATAAAAAAAATCATCTCAAAGTCGCGGACTTATCAAACCTTAGAAGATGGAAAAAAAATAAAAGAACAAACAGCCCTCATATGCTTACGTCTTGAATACTTACCCTTTTATCCAATTTTAGAAGTGCGATATCATTATCGTAATTACCAGGGTTGTACCTCATATGTCTGATGATGGCGTCTACTTTTCTTTCAAAAGTCTTCGTCTCATTAACTTCATACCGGTCGTGTTCCATAAAACGAACTCTTACTTTCTCCTTGCGGAATCTGTTTACGATGTACATACCCTGACATTATTAAGCTATATTTCTACCAATACAATTTTCCATATTGCCAATAAACACGTTTACAGAATTTTCGAAAATTATACGACTTACCCTGTTGTACAATGAGCAGCAGTCAGCACATAGAGGTCATTCAGTAGAGACCCTCCGCAAAAGTATTTACCATTGTACAATAACATCGCCATCCACGGGAACTCCAGCACTTTTGTTTCGCAGCCACCGATAATACGCCGGCGAGTGCGGGCAATACCACATTCTGCAATATTAGTATGTGAACTTTAATTTTAAAATATTTTTTTAGGGATCAAAAAGACAAAAGGTTTTCACAATTAAAATATTTAAACAAACCAACGTTTCGGGCCATTTACAAGTTCCAAGATCACCGTTGACTGACCATGAGTCAGCCTTCTGACTTTGTTTATAATATCAGTGACGGGACGAACTAGTCGTGTGCCTGGGACAAGACACGCCTATCCATAACAGTTGTAGTGCCACTCAGAGCTTTAAATCTCAAAGATTTTAAGGGTACTGCCACTGCGTCCGTCACCCTGAGACATAAGTTGACAAGTCCCATGTGCCTGTAATTTCGCCAGCACCCTTCGAAACGAGTTATACTCACATTACTGCTTGGCAGCAGAAATAGGTAAGGTGACAGTACTTCCCTGGACGAACTCTTTCACAAAGAGGTCTACCGCTACTAAAATCAGTTATGACCATCAATAATTCGTGATCGATCACCTGTAAAAAGGCCCGTAACGTTGATTTGTTTGAAAAAAAAAACAAATATATGCGATTAAGATCCGAAAAAACATAGTTTCGAGTTCTTAGGGTTTCGCGATTGTTACACATAGGAAATGAAACTATTTTTCCGGATTTAAATCGCGTATATTTGTTTTTTCAAACAAACCTATATTTGTTTTATCAAGCGTGACCAAGTGCCCGAAACGTTGGTTTGTTTGAAATAACAAATATACGCGATTTAAATCCGGAAAAATAGTTTCATTTTCTAAACATAGTTTCATTTACTAATTTCCAACTTGTCTTCTTCACAATAAGTCAGTGTGGTGTATTATTAATCGGCACAACCACTTTATATTGAAGGCAAAACTTTGGTAGGATGAATTAGGAAAAGAATAACAATAACAATTACTAACGGCAAACGGGGCAATCTGGGGGTGGGTCACTGATCGGTTGCAACGTAATGGTAGGCCCGTTGCCGATGAGATTATTGACCCACTCTATGAAGCTCTTTTCATCTATCTTCTTAATTTTTGACGGTGTGGAGGGCAGACCGCTTGCCAGGCTTACCAGGCAAGCTACGAAGATTAACCACGACATGCTGAAATAAGACACGAAGAATTTGGAAGCAATTTAAAATACATATTTATTAGAAATTAAAAGATTCCGTACAATTATATTGAATAATTTTTAACATCTCAGTTTAGTGGCCAGTAGTTAAATGTACCCAGCAACATATGTATCATACGTCAAAGTGCTCCTATCACGCATGTTTTATAAGCAGGGGTGGAGGTTTATTGTCTCTACCATTGTCGTGGAAGATAAGCGTGATATTTACATCGGAATCTACAGTTAAAATTTCGTTTTAGTCTAAAAAAAATAGTTCCTATATACATGAAACAAGTTAGTTATAATTAATACAAGATCGAACACCATGAAAAATTCCTTTGATGTGACAGACTGTCATCCTGTCCGATCGAAGGCATTTTTCTTTGTGTTCGATGTTTGCGTTAATAACAATTTAAAAATAATTTCACAAATTATAAATTAATATTATGGTAATAAAACATCATAATATTCATTACAATCAGTAACCACAAATTTTATTGCATTGCACAATGTAAAGATACAAAGATGACAACTTATAGCTATGAGAACCATTTGTGGACCTTGTTGGTAACAGTAATTTTAGTAGAGAGGAGGACGCTATGTATTTCCTTTCCAAAGAATAAAAACTGTAATAATCTCAGTACAGAGTACTAAAAAAACCGACCTCAAAAGTACGTGGAATTACGTTTATTTGCTAAGTTTTATTGAAATATCCCCTAGTTCGCCACTATACAGGACTTGACCCTGGAGATAATAAAAATAGGTTCTCCCTACGACACTATTCAAAGTATATCGAGAGAAAAACTCCTTGAATTGGAGAAATAGCAAAATCAACCATTAAAGTAATTGCTCCTAAACTAAATTAGGCGCTATTTATAAAAATGAATCTTCATGCGTGAACAGCCACCCTTCGAGGTGGATGATTTTCTTCAAAATGAAATGGGACCACTATGGAAGTACCCCCTTTCCAACAAAAAAAAGAATCATGAAAATCGGTTCACAAATACCGGAGTTATCGCGTAACATACATACAAAAAAAAGAAAAGAACATACAGTCGAATTGAGAACCTCCTCCTTTTTTGACTTCGGTTAAAAAATAAAAGTCAATATCAAATGAAACAAAATGTGTATAATGTGAAGTTTAATTCCTATTTATATTTATAATTTCGTTCATGGAATATTTAAACCTCCTGAAATGTTGCCATTGTGCAGATTTGGCCTTATTACACCACACTGCGATTTAATTTCTTAATTTGATTAAAAGTTGTTTTTTTTTATGATAAGTGACGAGACGAACGAGTCGTGCGCCTTACCCCTGAGACATAAATTGAAATGTCCCACGTGCCTGTAATTTCACCAGCACCTTACCCTTTCAAACCCAAACGCATTCACATTACAGCTTGGTGGCGCACGAAATAGGTAAAGTAACAAATAGACTTCACTGGATCAACTCTTTAAAAAGGAGCTCTACTGCTACTAACTTTACATACTAATCAAATCATCGTCAACATACAAATTGTAATGAAATTCACTATTATTCTCAAATATTTACTGTTTAATGAAGAATCAAGGACAAATGGTGACCGGGTCAGCAGAACTGGGTGGATCAGTATACCGCTACCCGATCACTCATCTCATCCGATTAGCATATCCATTTGCCTTTCATATTATTATTTTGTATGCCAAATTGACAGGATCATAAAATTTTATGATTTTTGACCACGAATTCGTTTACAATTTTTCGTAATCTTAAATCATAACCACCTAACGCATTTGCTATTGCAAATGCGATAACTTTCTAGACATTGGCATCTAAAGTTTTATTGTCGTCTAAAAATGTGATTTATGCTGATTTTACCTCCGTGGCCGAACGGTTACCGTACTGGATTGCCACGCAGAGGTCCCCAGTTCGATTTCCGAGTCGAGAGAAATACTTGTATAAGCTATTATTATTTATTTATTAAAAAAACTGAAACTCAATGAGATAAAAAAAATCCGATTAGAGGGCGTTGTAGATGTCGTGTTGTTGATCCCAGATCTGTTAGTAACTCTATTTTGCTAAAAATGTCGATTACGTTAGTTGTTTTTTTTTTTATTGAAGGATAAACAGTGACACATATGAGAAAAAAATACATATTTAAAATTAACAATACCTATACCTATAGTCCCCTAAATATACTTTACACAAAAAGATAACCCGGCAAACTGATACAAATAAACTCATACATGCAGCACCATCCGTATCCCAAACCTGTGTCCCACCCAAACTCAGCCATTCTGGCAACTCGCTGCGTTCGGGAGTGGTCCTGTTTTTCTAGAGTAATATTATTCTGTGGTCCTGTTACGTTAGTTATGATGAGGGGAGGAACAGCTTCCTCATGGTTGACAACCTCGGTGGCCCAAAGGTTTGCACTGTTGACGTTAGATAAGGAGGTCCCGGGTACGATTTCCAGTGGGACCAATTTGTGAAAACTTTTCTAAATTTGTTCTGGTCTGAGTGTTCTGGGTAGTGCCCCGGCGTGCATTCCGTTGCTCTGGTACTCAAATTTGAATGGGATCGCTACTGAGGTACCCTATTACCAACAAAAAAAGAATCATCGAAATCGGTTCACAAATGTTGGAATAATTGTGAAACATAAAAAATGCAATCGAATTGAGAACTTCCTCCATTTTTGAAGTCGGTTAAAACAGATAGCTGTCTCATAATATTAGTATGCACGTCGCTTACCTATACGGCGTAACTCCTAGTGATGCGTTAAAGCCACTACAGAACTCTTTCCATGCACTTTAGCGAAAAGAGTAGATCTTGAAGTACGATTCAGAAGTTTGATAAACTCGTGCTCATTATAAAAAAAAAACAACTTTAGTCAGGTGAACAAACCGAACGCGCGCTTTTTAAACTTTTCGAGTGTGTTTTTAAAGTGTTCCAATTTTAAATCACACTTATATTAAAAGTATGTGAGGCTTCGATTAAAATTCACCCTCCAATTTAAAGGTATCCTTCACTACGATCAACCATAAATAACACAAATTAAATTTAAAAAAACTTACACACTCAAAGAGTCCCTCAAAAAAATCAAATGACGTGTAATCCGCTCGTAGATTCGTAAGTACACTGCAGAATCGACGAAAGAGAAAGAATATCACGACTTTCACTCGGACTACTTCATCCTGTCAAATACTTGCCAAATACCCACACGGTTTTATAGGGCGCTACCAAACCACCGGTTAGCAACTTTGTCAATGCAAACCTAAGCAGTTTTTGATTGCAAACATTTGTCGACTATATTTATAGTCTAACTACAACATGTCATGCGTATTGCTTGGTTAGCGATTAAGTTCTCTTTTATAAAACCAAGTGACGGGGCGAACAAGTAATGCGTCTGGTGGTACCACTCAGAGATTGTAATTCCACCAGCACCCTTACCCTTCCAAAACGGAACGCAGTAATGCTCACATTGCTGCTTGGCGGCAGAAATAGATAAGGTGGCAATTTCGACGAACTCTTTCACAGGGAGCTCTACTGCTACTAAGTTTACGTTAACGTTTTATTTTAAATTATATCTTAATTTAACAAATTATGTGTTCAGTATCTCTATCTATATTGAAGTATATGTCACTTACCTTATTTTTAGCTGTATGCAGGCTCCACTTTCTATTGCTTACTTTGACTCAAAAACTTAAGTATCAAATTAATTTCCAGGGAAATCGACCTAATGGTAAGATAGTTTCCCTATATATATTTTCTGATATAGTTTCTGATTTCCACATTACCTTAACAATAAAAAACATATTCAATAGGTTTTTGTTTATAAATAGTTGGAATAAATATTGCCCATTAATATTTACATTAATTATATTTTTGAATAGTGAGGACTCTATTATCGAAATATTGGGTAAATTAAAAAAAAATGTTTTAACGCTGACACATACTAGGGAAATTCTGATCGTGGGTGCCGTGGACACACACGTAGACACGAGAGAGTAATAAATGTAGGCCATACAAATATTTCTCCCGGCCCAGAAATCGAACCCACCCGAGACCTTTGCGTGGCAGTTACATTAATAAATATTCATTCCTTCATATATCGGGTTTAAAAATTGTGGTATCTCGTCAAATTATTGATAACAGTTTGTGAACATAAACATGTTATTAAATAATAAAAATAACAACTTTTCTGTTATAAATAGGCATTTATTTAATACAAAACGGTGTAAACCATGATAACATATTTCAAATATTTATTCAATATCTATTGTGAGAATTTTCGTTAGAGATTACAAACGAACAACTCTACTAAAACTCATTTTAAAACATAATGATGCCATGTGTATTATACGTCACGTGTTATGGACGATTCTCAATAAACTCACTGAAGCAGAATACATATATATCATCACGCCTGTCTCCCATCGGGGTTCGCAGAGACCATGTATGCTCCTGACAAACCTCCTTCGCCTTCTCCACTCAAATCAGTGTACTTTCATACATGCCCGTTTGCCTTTGGTACTTTTAATCCGGCTTTTTAAGAACATCCCCAATCTGATTGCGATATGTACGCCAAGGTCTACATCCTTCTACACGCACCCATCCACGTTCGCTTTATAGTGCCGTCAATCAACCAACATTCATTCATTCTACATGACCTAACCGTCGAAACATTCCTCTCTTTTTACTACATCACATTTCACACCAATCCAAAATTTTTGAAAATAAACGTTAAAGATTTTAAACCATTAATCTGGTAAGTAGTATTTCATTTACATTTAATATCTATATCATTCTGTTATTTTTCTGTAAACAAACTCCTGAGGGCCCACTAGTGGAACGAACCGTCCGAAAGGATTTTTTGAGTCAACGGAAAGTCCATCCGATGGGAAATCCGTTATTTTAGTTAAAATGTATACATATAAATAATTAAAAAGTCATATGAACGTAATGAATGAGACGGTGAACTCGATCAAAAACTAGATTTCATTATCACTGATCAAAAATCCAATTCATAAATTAAGTTTTAGCACTTCGTGTCTTAACTATACAATGTAGAGACATTCGAATAAAAGTCAGTCAAGTAGAATAAAAATAATATTAGTAGATTAATTAATAATTCATTTATTTCGAGTAACATTGACTCACATAATTTGTTAGTAAACCTCTTAATAATAATATTAGTATGTTACAAAATTGTACACAATGGATTTTGCTGGATACATGCAATTCAGAACAGTGCTTCATGTTTGGAGTCGAGCCTATCCGCTATCGGGAGCAGGATGGGGCTCGCACCCGGCGCACTAGTGACGTACTTCGCTTGCACAGTCGCGTAAAAGCTGTCCACTCTTGCTTCGCGAACATCTCTGACGCGGTACAGAAGTAGTGCCACAACCATAAGTATCATGTTTATTAGTCCACAGTGTCTGTTTAGTGACGTCACTTTGACGAAGATTTGCTCTACATTTTTCATGATCATTTTGTTATAGCTTTTTATCAAAGCGGACAATCCGTTTGAGTAGTGATAGGAAGCCATTTCACATTACCCTAAGTTTTTGGTACACCACCGATAACAAGTAATTTTAGGATATTTTAATGGCAATAGCACGCATCTTTGGTGTTCCTTTCTAACCAAGACAGGTATCTGTTGAGACGAGTATATACTCCGGGTGCATCAGGCCTGGCACAGCCTTCACCCCATGATACTATACCTGGAAATGTAATGATGTCTTATACAATCTTATCTGATAGATTTAAAAATTAATGTAAACGTTTTTCTCTTTATTCTGTACAAGTTTGAGTTCTTTCAATAAATAATAAATAAATAACGCACACACTTAACATAGCCCCGCAGCACTAGGGAAACCCTGTGTCGCGGGTGCCATGGACACACACATAGACAACCACAAATTACATCCAAACTCACGAGAGAAATAAATGTAGGCCACACAAATATTTCTCCCGGCCCGGGAGTCGAACCTGGGACCACTGCGTGGCAGTCTGGCATGGTAACCGTTCGGCCACGAAGGCAGTTAAATCAAGTATAAACTCTAATTCATTTACCGACTCCGGTTTTAGGCCGTTTTCACAAGCAAAAATATTGTCTCTCATATGGCTACAATTTAATAATAATATAGATATTGTTTTCACTATAGTTCACACCCTTAAGTGTATTAAAGTCATATCAGCAAAATGACAATTTTTCAGGTGAGAGGTTTGAAAATTCTACGAACGAAATTAGTCGATAACTTTATATGAGAGTTATAAAATGTCACATATTATACATATTTGTTATAAGTAGATCGTATTATTTTTATGACTAATCACTTCTCACAAGCTGGAGTTACTTACCAACTTCCTGAAATTGCGCATTAGAGTTCAAGATGTGTAAAGGACCACCAGAGTCTCCTTGGCATGCGTCACGTCCACCTTCGGGCTCCCCTGCGCACAGCATGTTATCCGTGATTCGTTGCTTGTAAACGGTTTGCCGGCACTCTTCATTCGATATTATGGGAACGTACACCTAAAAAAACACGCTAAGTTATTGGGACGTCGCAACTGGCTTTTCAAATCCCACAGTACCTAAAGAACTGCAAATTTGACTTTTTTTTATATCAAATGCCTGGCATTAAACGACACGCTTGCGCATACCAGTGGCACTCAGAACTTTAAATCGCAAAGATTTGAGAGCCACAGCCACTAAGCCATAACACTTAAGTTGACAAGCCTTTTGTGCCTGTAATTTCACCCCTACCCTTCAAAATCGGAACACAGTAATGAGACGCATTACTGCTTGGCGGTAGAAATAAGTAAGGTAGCAGTACTTCCCTGGGTGAACTCTTTCACAAGAAGCTCTACTCTTACTCTTCTTCTTCTGCCTGTCCTTATCCCAAGCCAGGCAGAATATGTATTTCTCTCCCACTCTCCCCTATCAGCCGTCATTTCCATACTCACACCTTTCTTATCCATGTCATCTTTCACACAATCCATCCATCTTTTCCTTGGCCTTCCTCTCCTCTTATATCCCCCCACTTTCATACCTAACACCCTACTGCTACTAAATTATGGTTATTAACATCATTTTTTAGGAATTTCTTAACTTCTTTAAATAGTTATCCAACGTCTTGTCTTTTTTGTGGCAGCTGCAAAACCTTTTCTTATCAATAATTAAGGATACCTCTTGTAGTGTGTCTGACACAGATCCGCCTTCTTCAGTAGTGCCCCATCCAGAGACCACCGCACTGTAGTTGGTATAGGTAAGTTCAGGAGAAGGCAAACACACAGGACGAGGGCTTACTTCTTCTTCAGCGCGACCATCTGCAGTGCGTCGTACAGCTTTACTCAAGTCTACCTGTTATGTATAATTCACAATGTTACAGCATGACGCTGGGGTTTACATTTCGATTCTAGTTTAATTATGACCAAAAAGAGTAGGTATTTGCATTCAGGGTAAATGTAATAATCTCGACGACCTCGGTGACCCAACTGTTTATACTGGATAAGGAGATCCCGAGTTTCTCGATAAGACCAAATTAGGACACAAACTTTCCTAAATTGGTTATAGTCTGGATGTAGTGACGAGTGCCTCAGAATGAATTCCGTTGGTCTGGTACTCATAGTACGGGGAAGTATGAGACCAGGCGATTGTGTGGTTGTCTGGCACATTATTATTACATTATCAAAAGCTTAGAGACAACTATATTTAATGGAGTTTGAAAATATTCTACATTTTAAATGTTCTTACCCTTTCATCCAACTTAAGAAGTGCGATATCATTATCGTAAGTGCCAGGATTGTACAGCAGGTGTCTGTTAATAGCTTCCACGTTTCTGTCGAAAGTCTTCGTCTCGTTGGCTTCGGACCGGTCGTGTTCCATAAAACGAACCGTTATTTTGTCTTTGCGGAACCTGTTAAAGATGTGATATGATAATCTGATATGTTTAATCTATTTAGGGGTAATTTTCAGGTTCGTTTTCGCCTTCTTATTTCGGTGACAATTTTGATTATTTATTATATTAATTAATATTTCACGATAACATACTTGAATTTTTTTTATTTTTTTTCTATGTAATGAAGGAGGCAAACGTGCTGGCGAGCCACTCGATAGGAGGTGGTAATCGTCGCCCATGGACATTTGCAACATCAGATGAGCTGCCTATGCGTTGCCAGCCTTTGAGAGCCCTGTAAACACGCTTTTTGTAGAACCCCATGTCAGCGCAAAGGAAACACTTTAGGAGGAAGATCATTCCCCACCTTGCAGGTTCGAGGAAGAAACGAACGAGATGCCCGCGTGGTCTTACAATGCCAAGCATCTAAGATATGGGGATGAACTCTACTCCTTTGGCGGGAGGTGCGATGATAGAAACGAGACGGTGGCACCAGTTCGAAAAGTTCCTCAGAGCACTCCCCATTATAAAGACGGTAGAACACACACAGAGAGTCCAACGTCTCTCCGTAGGCTAAGGGGCTCCATACCGTCTGTGAGTTTGGAATCATCGATAATACGAACAGCCCTGCGTTGGATGGAGTCAAGTCGATCAAGCTGGTATTTGGGAGCTCCTGCCCAGAGATGCGAGCAATACTACATATAGGGCCATACTTGTGTTTTATATAACAAAAGTCGGTGACCTGAAGAGAAGTACTGCTTCGCTCTATTGAGCACTCCAAGCTTTTTTGAAGCCAGTTTGGCTTTGCTCTTCAAATGACTCCGGAACTGGACTTCGTTCGTGATGTCGACTCCAAGTATCCCATACACTTTGAGATGGCAAGGGCAGTGTTCTGGAACTTAGGCGCTGTTACAAATGGGGATATTTTAGCGGTAAACGCACACACTTGTGTCTTTGCGGGGTTAAATTGTACTAGATTCTGTTGGTCCCATTCTGAGACCTGCTCCAAAGAAGTCTCGATTTTGGACACAAGTTGCTGTCTGTTTTGTTCCACTTGCTGGTGGAACAAAACATATAGGGAATTGATCAATATTTGTGCGACCTGTATAATAGCCATCACCGGTACTGTCATCTGCATAGCAATGAATGGTACTAGTTGGTAACATATCATTGATATGCAGGATGAACAGAGTTGGTGATAGCACAGATCCTTGCGGAACGCCGGCGTTGATGAGCACGTTGTCCGAGCACAATCCGTCGATAGCGACTTTTATGCCCCGCTCAGACAGGAAGCTGGCGATCCAAGTGCACAGCCCTTTTGGAAGCCCGTAAGATGATAGCTTCGACAGAAGTGCCTTGTGCCAGACCCGATCAAAAGCCTTAGCGATGTCTAAGCTCACGGCCATTGCTTCCCCCTTGCTCTCGATGGCAGCTGCCCATTGGTACGTGAGATACATAAGAAGATCACCAGCACCACGACCGCAGCGAAAGCCATGGGTCATTTAATAAGTTGGCGATCCTCGAGGTAATCTAAGAGCTGGTTGTTTACCACACGCTTCATCACCTAAAATTATAAAAATTGCCACCGAAATTACTTAATTACTTACCTTGGAAATACGTATATTTGTGTCTAAAGAATCTCCCAGAAAGTCGACAATCATCAATATCTTCCAAATTTCCGAAAAGAATTCAAGCAACTTACCCAGTAGTACAATGAGCAGCAGTCAGTACATAGAGATCATTCAGTAGAGATCCTCCACAATAAAATCTACCATTGTACAGAAGTAACGCCATCCATGGGAACTCCAGGACTTTTGTTTCGTAGCCACCGACAATACGTCGGCGAGTGCGGGCGATACCACATTCTGCAATGTTAGTATGTTAATTTTAATTGCTGTAACTTTAGTTTGTTTTCTTATGTGAAACGTGTAAAAAAACTACATTATTTAGTATGTTTTGTTGTTGTTTTCTTTTTAAACACTTTGATTTCTTTGTTTGACTCAAAAATGTGTGGGATATTAGTATGATGATATCGCACTCTTAATACAATAGTCTATTAACTCAAAAAGAGGATTTTCTCAGAATTGATGAAAAACGAATTACTCGCTTCCCGCAAAAAAATCATTAAACTTTATATGTTAGAGTTTATTATAGACACTTAAATAATTTCTCAAATATATTAAACAATAAAATGGAAACAATAATTTCATGTTTTTGAATAAGGATTATTTTGGCTAGAAGTAGCTCACATAAAGTGAGTCTGATTATAAGTTAAGTAGATATCTTTTGATTGTTTCTTACAATATTCTAACGACTTTTTTTTTACTTGAAGAGAATCAAATTTTGCGTTCAGTAATGATATAATATTAAATTTCACATATTTTGAGTAACAACACTATTGTAATAGCAGTGCGATATGAGATCAAAATCGTGTGAGGACGAAGTCGGGTAAGGAGCACTAACGGCAATCAGGACAATCTTCAGGCGGATCATTGACCGGTCTCAGCGTGGTGGCAGGGCTGACGCCGATGAGATTACTGATCCAGTCGAAAAAGCCCTTTCCATCTAACTGAAGTTGTGCCGATGTGGAGGGTAGACTCCACGCCAGGCTCAGCAGGCAAGCTAGGAACACTAACCGAAACATGCTGAAATGATGTATGAAAAATCAATTTAAAAGCAATTTGAAATTGGACAACATGAATTAGGAACTATTAGAAGCAGTAGAGTCCCTGTGAAAGAGTTACCGCAGCCTCCTTGCGAAAATGTTACAGTAGTAAGCACAGTTGGCTTTTTAATTTGTGATCACATTATGTATGGATAATGTGACCATTATTTTTTCCCCTCAGAAATTATTATTTTAAAAATAAAACACTTGTTCATACCTATAATATACGCGTAATTAGCATTAAATGTTTAATTATTTTAAAAAAAGGAACAATACTACTGTGAACTGGCAAGCGGTACTCAATTTTAACAACTGTACAGGACGAAAAAGAAATTATTTATATAGCATCTGGTTTATTAAATAAAAATAAGTAGTATACATACATACATGTGTAATGAAAACATTTAAAAACTACTTATTTTTATTTAATAAGCCAGCTGCTATATAAATGACGCAGACAACTTTTTCTTCATCCTGTAAAGTTATCAAAATTGAGATAGTACCGATTGCCAGTTCACAGTCATAGTCACATAACTATTATAGTTATTTGTTATTCAAGGTGGTTCAAAAATAGAGTCCTCACTATAGCGAGGAAAATTGTAGATGAAAAAAAACAGTTGAACTAAAACAAATCAGTTTTAATAAACAAAATTTAATGTCAACAACAATAAGAATAAAATATACCAACGCATTTATATTACATAAATAATGTACGGCAAATCGCAAAGTTGAACGTGTCATTATGTTTTTTTTTCATGGAAAGAAAAAGTTAGGTGCACCACAATTCATTGTCAAGTTCGAATTTCGAAAAATCTTTTCCACGTTAGCGTGGAAAAAAGTTTTTGCGCGCAGATTTCTAATGAAAAAGTGTGTGCTGCTTAAAAATTGCTGCTTGTAAAGGGTGGGCTGGTTTATGTATTTTTCGCTTTAGCACATTTAAAAAAAACTAATATCGCGTGTGTTCTATTTTGTCAAAGCGGAACATTGTTAAGTATTTTGGAGCCAGCTGAACACGTCGTGTTATGTATGGAATATTATTTCCATTGAAGTTTTCGAGAAGCATACTTTATCATTTATCTTGTAGACAAATTGTAAACCAAACTATCGGATCTAAATTACGTATACTTATTTGTTTTTACAGGTCTCAGGTGATTTTGACTTGATTGTCCATGACAAATGTTTGCGAAGTTCGTCCACTATCAGTCTAAGTAGATTGAATTTTGGTATGTAGGTATGGTGGGCTTCAAGTAAAGATGTACAATATCCCAAAGAGCTACAGACTATACGGCCAGGGTACAATGTTATATTGCTGGATTGTTATTTAAAACTTCAAATGTATGCAAAGGAAAAGTAAATACTTGGGAAGTTGCCACATGCACACCACATACTTTATAGATAAGCCATAACTCCTTACGACTGTACATAGGCAGCAGTACGGGCCTATTCTTTTCTTGCTTCATTTAATTATTGTAACGAAAAAGATAATAGTTTAGTTGTTGGAATTTTAAAATAAAAATATTTACGTTTTAAATTTCGTACAGTATGGATTTCAAATACAATTACGTATGGTCGTATCATCCGGTACTAAAATGTATTTTTGTGATTATACAGGGCGTCTCACGGCTATGCCACACGGAGGGAAAGTACATTAAATGTACCGTAGATAGGAAATTTTACTCAAAGATTTCATTTTGATTTTAAAAACAGTTCGAACTGCATTCAAAGATTTTTAAATAATCGCTGTCTCAACCGGGATTCGAACCCTTCAATCAATCAAAAAATTTAAATTGATTGTAAGTTGCTGTTAAGTGTACCTAATTATTTTGATTAAATGTTAAATTTCATGGTCTGCCTTTTATTTAAGATGCTATGTTATTTAAAAGAAAATTATCCTTATGATTGAGGCTCTCGATCGGTTTAGTAAAATACCAGGTGCTTGTTTTATCACATTTAGCGGGTTCGATTCCCGGTTCAGACTGGCGATTATTAAAAATCTTTGAATGCAGTTGGAATTGTTTTAAAATCAAAATAAAGTCTTATTTGAGTAAAATTTTCTGTCTATGGTATTTAAGATACTTTCACTCCGTGTGGCATAGCCGTGAGACACCCTGTACATTCATTCAGAATTAAATCCTTTTAAGGACAAACAAAACTGTTGCTCCAATGTACGAATTGCAAGAAACCGGAAACAGTTCGCACGTGGACTTTTAAAACTTTACTACTTTTGTTAATCCAGTAAGCACACTTTAAATTTAAAATAGGAGACATTTATTAAAAATCATGTTCCAATACCTTTCAATCCTAGAAATCCTCTGCAATCCACCTCAAACACAAATCAAATTTCGAATAAAACCTTACACACCTCAGAGTCAGTCAAGCAAAACAAATGACGTCTAATCCACTCGAAGAATCGTGAGTACACTATAGAATTCAGAATAGTGAAAGAATATCTTCACTTTCATTCGGACTATATCGACCTGCCAAATGTCCTTGTCGGCTACCTGCACAGTTTTATAAGGCATGGTCCCACCTAGCCGCTTCACTAATGCCATTAGTGAATACTAGAGTAATTTCAGCAAAATTATTATCTCATAAATGGGGGTAATTACTGCAAACGTAATATGCCCATGTGGGATCATAATGCGTGTAGGTAACAGAGTTTCCTTACATGCGACATTTGTTTTTAATAAAATAATATGTGCGCTTTTGACCTCCATTTCACCTGATGGAAAATAACGATGAGGTCGACGACGTGGCATGCACACCTAAATAATGCCTATTCACTCTCACCTTGAAAAGGCCCAAATCATGGAGTTCTGGGAATAAGTCTGCAGGCAAAAATGTGGACGTTTTGTTGCGTTATGGTCTCCATGGTATGGCCATAGGTAGTGTAGTAAATGGTGCAAATTTCGGCTTGGTTTTCAGTAAATACGTAACACTATTCTACGAGGTTCTAGCTTTGATAGAATCTTTAAATTGGATTACTGATACTGACGTGTCCAGTAAATCTGAATCGAAATTTCTGACATCGGCTGGTTACTACATGGAGATGACCACCCGAAGCCCTGTGATCGAAATTCAGCAGCTTGTTTTTAGGCGGTGATTGACTCAACCCTATATATAAGCTATGGCTTACATGTTTAGCTCATTCACTTACAACAATAGAAAAATACAGCTGAAATAGGGTATTTAGCGCCACTTCCACCGTATTATTATAATTAGTTATTATATTATTAAGCAATTTTTAACCATACCAAGTGTCAGCTTATAATTTTCTTTTAACCTTTTGTTTAATTGAGACTGAATTTGGATGCAATCAAAATATATATACAATTTTAAAGGACTATGTTTGAGCTAAGTTTGTACCCTTTTTAAATCCCTAAATAAAATGACAAACGTACTTACTTATTTCAAAATACACAGATATGTACCACCTTGCGAAAGAATATGCCATACGCATGATCTAATTATGACTTTTTATTTGAAAATAAATAAAACTAATAAGCTAGCTGTCTACTTATTAGTACAACGCCTACATATAATATACAGATTATATTTCAGTTACAATACATAAGTGCTAATTGCCGTTTTAATTTATCTAGGCGTTTGTAAAATTAGTACTACTCAAATACGTTCCACTCATATTCTGACAAAAATCGCTTCTAAAAGAACAGAAGATACATTTGCTGGTTGTACAAAAACCAGATATGGAGCATTTATCTGAGCATGGCGGGATGAGTTCGACGCATTTACAAAGGACTGATCTAACATTGCATGATACAGGGAGCTTTGGAAGTCAAGATGAGAGTAGTTCTTTGCCCAGCAGTAGTATACAATAGACTAATTAAAAATAACGTAAATGTATTTCATTATCATCGTCATCATCCTGTTTATGAGCCAGGTACTTATTTGTGTAGCCTCCTCCACTCTTCGCGGATCATAGCCAGCTTCTTGACCTCTTTATAACTGCTCACTTTGACGTTATTCTTTATTTGTTAACTGTACGCCATTCTTGGTCTTCCTATCTTTCTTTTATCATCTAAATATGTTTACGTGCTCTTAATTATAACATAAAGCAATTATGTAACTAACGAAGACACGTAAACTTCATGCAATGGGATTTTTAATTGAAATAATATAAAATCACATACATATAAACAAATATAAAATCAATGGAAAACCAATCGACAAAGATTCCCCGGAAGAAATATAAGTAAATAAATTAACATCTCAAAGCCAAATAATAATTTATTCCATAGGTAAATTTTTTACACTTGAAAACATCATTTTTAAGCTACTGCTTTCACTGTGTTCACTTCCCTGAGAAGAACGAGCAATAAACTCTAGGAAATGCTATTTTCAAGTAAACTTAAATGCTATAGAATACACTTTGAATCATATTCGTGTGGAAACTAGACTCACGTTGTCGTTCCATACATCTTTATGTAACACATAGTCTTCCATTTCGTAATACGACTTTTCAATTAAAATACTTTTAATGTAAGTTCTAAACTTAGGAAATGATAATCTTAATATATGGTCCGGAATCTTATTGTAAACACATATACAGTTCCCCATAAAAGAATTGTTTATCTTAGTTACATGAAGTCGTGGTACCACGAGTTTGCACTTAATTCTAAGGTTAATTTTCTTAATTAAATTATGTATATTTTACGGGCCTACAAAATATCGAGCAAATGTACAGTTAAAATCGTCCAATTAAAAAAGTTTTAACAAAAACAAGCCTTTGTCCTTCATTGACCCATAAATCAGTCTGTGTTTGAATTGTTTTCAATATAAATAACGTGTAAGTATGTCAGACACACCTTCAATTGATCATGAAGACAATCAGAGAACAATTCTGGGGCACTAATGCATATTTTCATGTACATGCACATGTGATATGTGCTTTCAGACAATCCCATAAATAAGATTGGAAATCCTCTAGTAATGGAACTCGAAGCTAATTTCTCTACTGATTTTATATTTTATAAGACATTGTATTTAGTAGCAGTAGAAAGTGAAAGAGTTTGTCCAGAGTAGTACTGCCACTATGACTGCCACCTTACCTATTTCTGCCGTCAAGCAGTATTGTCAGCATTACTGCGTTCCGGTTTTGAAGGGTAAGAGTACTGGTGAAATTACAGGCACATGGGACTTGTCAACTTACCTATGTCTCATGTTGAAGGGCGCAGTTTCAGTGCCAGATTTCGAGCTCTGAGTGGCACTGCAACTGTTATGGACAGGCGTGTATCTTACCGTCAGGCGTACTACTTGTTCGTTCCGTCACTTAATACGATAAAAAAAATTGAATTAATAGGTTATTAATCTATTTACAGATATTTTCGAAGTTTTAGTAGCATTAGAAGCCCTTTTCAAAGAATTTGTCCAGGGAAGTACTGCCACCTGGGTACCTATTTCTGCCTTCAAATAATAATGAGAGCATTGTTGCGTTCCAGTTTTTGAAGAGTAAGCGCACAGACACACTAGGAGAAAGTTTTCGCGCGGCTGCCGCGCGGTCGGAGAGCGGAGTCCGCGGCCGTCGCCGCGCGGTCCAAGAGCGGACTCCGCTCGGCGACCGCGTAGACAAAAAACAAGGTAAAAACTAAATAAATAGAGCGTATTTTGCCATGACAGTCCGGTCTCTGAACACGTGCACACGGCCGCTGGGCAGCGGCCGCCGCAGACTCCGCTCTTTGACCGCGTGGGGTGAGCGCGGTAAAATTCGTGTCGTATGAACGCGCCCTAAGGGTGCTGGTGAAATTACATGCACATGGGACTTGTCAAGTCAGGTATATATCAGGGTGACGTGCGCAGTGGCTGTACCCCTCTAATCTTTGCGATTTAAAGCTCTGAGTCGCATTGCAACTGCTATGAACAGGCGTATCATTTATATAGAATAGTTTTATTGTAGATTGATGACATATGTATTCATACTCATTCATACATAATCAATGTACATAATGTAATAACTGATTCCTAGCACATAATAAATAGTATCGTATGTGATCACTAGATGGCATTGTATTGTATAGAATATTGGGGACAAATAGATGGCGCTATTCACAATTGCATAACGTTAAATTGCAATATCAGTTTAATTCAAAGGAAAGGTTTACAACCAAATATGTTTTATTGTAGATCGTTAAAATAACACTTATAATTTTAAGTATTTGAATGTAAAGAGTATTCATTTTTACTTAATTTCCAGTTTCCGCTACATCCACCCTGCTACTAAAAAGTAGGGTTGAGTGGAGAGACGGGGTGGCGGAATCGGCCGGTGCTCAGTCGTGTAGTGTGCAAGAGTCCGAAAGGCTAGACGAGAATATTACTTACACAAAGTAATTGTACTACATTGTTTGAGGAACGTGTGATCAGTCACGGAAAATATAGTAATATTTCTTATCAACTTGGTATTATTTCAAGTCCACGAAGAGCGCTGCAACACTTACGAGTTGTTCGTTCCGTCACTTGATGTCGTAAAAAAAAGTTATTTGTCTACATTGACTTACAATTATATGGACGTCGGGTCCGCGCTAAAAAGTGCCCGCACTTGTAAGGCGCTAAAATCGTATACAGAGCGCCAAACTCCGCTTTAGTCTTCATTTGTTCTACTGACAGCGCGATACTCCGATGACATTACAATTTAAATTTCGAATAGGTTGACTTGGGACATTTTTTTCGTGGTTTTTGTATTAGACCCGTCGTCCATTTATTTGTAAGTCAATGTTTGTCTAAGTAAAACTTCTATAATGTATTTCATTTTGTAGAGTCGTTTACCATTCATCTACATATTGCACAACTTCAGAATTACAAACGTTACTTTCACCACCCACCCATTGTCGTTTTAAATCTTCGTAACGGCTTTTGATGTTCAGTGAGTAAAATGAAAAATAAAAATCTCGATCACATCTCGTTTTCAAATAAGTTTCTATGGTACTAATCCCATTGCAGCAAGGAAGGCTCTCGTTATCACCATACGGGCTAGTCGCCTTGGCACACTTGTCACTCCTTCTGATTCATAGGTGTCGGCTATTTCCACCACAGCCCAAGGTCAGCAATGTTTGTCTATTTTTGTGTATTTCACTATTTATAAACGTTCGTATTTGATCCTTATTATATAATGTCAATGATAACCTAAATCAAGGTTTCAAGGTCACTTTTAATTTCACTTATTACATTAAAAGTTTAAATAGTAAAACGGAGGACTAGGATTAATTATATGAATAAAATTGGACCCCCGCGGCAAGGTGCCCAAGATGCTGATTTTTTGCATAAAATTTTGTACAGATGGAGGGCACCCGGACACCACAGACCAAGGGTATCGACTACAAAGACTGTAAATAGGTAGTCGGACCCGAGGTCACCTTACGTGTAGTTTCACAAACATAAAAAAAGATTAAGTTTTAATTTATTCTAATTTCTCTTATTACATTGAAATTTTCGCTTTATAAGGATAGGATAGCAAAATAAA